ACTCTAAATATAATTCAAATGTGATTGTTAAGGGGGAGGGGGTAGCATGAGGACTTCAAAAAGGACTTACAGAAAAACAACTGATGCCAACATTTGGTGGCAACAGGTTGAATGACTCAAGCAATAATTGCTAAATCTGTAACATTTATGTGAGAGATATCTACAGTATAAGAGGTTATATTATTTGATCTTGAGTTTGTTTGTCCTCCTGGACTAAGATCACAATTCAAACTTGAGATTGTGTGATGTTATTACTGCATCAGCCGATGGCTACTTATAAATGTCAAGATTTTTCATCAGAACTTCTGATTTGTTCTTGTAGCCCTACTGATTTATTTCATGAAAATGACATTTCCTTATATTAAGAAATATAATCAATGAAGAATTGATATTTCGAAATACTGTATTGATATTTTCTCCAGTTAATAAGATATATTAAACCACTGAATAAAATCCAAATCTCTTATCCCAAGTTCCCTCACAAGAGGCAACATTTTGAAAATACATGATTTTTAAATGAGAATTTATTAAAATTACATGAAAGCAAAATTATACGTATCACATAATCTGTAGATATTTTAGTCATATAAGTAACCTGACTATGTCTGATACTCAATCTTCAGTCACATGCTAACACAGTAGCTTTCAAGTTCAAGGGTATCACATGTTGAGTTAGAATGACATTTCTGAATTCAGGAGATTGTGCCAATGCAGATTTGGATGCATACTGATGATGACATATACATGTTTAATTCAAAAGTAAAAACAATTGTCTGCAACATATTGAAATTAAATGTATATAGATCCATTAGTGAATCTGCTAGTAATATATCTAATGAATTTTCAAAATTGAAGTAAAACCTGTAGAAGTTCTATATTGAGTAAAATATTAATTAATTATGTGTCTGTTTTAGTCAATCTGAGCTGATTCTACCTTTTCTCTTATTTTACATTTTATGTTTCCTAAAGATTATTTTCATGTTCATAAATATGTTCTATATCTATCATTTTTACATTGTGACCTATTTTAACTTATATTGTAACTACTTCAACAGGGCCAATAATGCTTCGGCGTAGGCCCTGTATCTGTTTGTATGATGTATTATGAAATAAAGGAAATATAAAAATTTAAAAAAAAAAAAAAATGTTTCCTAATCTAGCTCTGTTAAAGCTTGTAATGTTTTAGGTGCATTCATGCGCCTCTGGGCCTTTATATATATATCTGAGATTTGTCATGGCACCAGAGGCGCATCACCAAGCATTAAAAACCCTAGGCAAGTTGAGATTCTGAAAAACAACGGATCGGTTGTTTTTGCTTTTTCTCGGAGCTCCTTACCTTAATCTTTAAATTTTTCGGACCACTATGTAGCGACGTTGTTTGTCTTCAAATTGACCCTAGTTGTAATCATGTTTCTCGTGGAAATTATATCAAGAAGTGTCTTTGTATTTTTCAGGTTAGAGAAATTCGAACGAATTCTCAAAATTGAGTTGACCTACATAATTTATGCGCATGCGTGATGTCACAAGTCACGTGACTAAATGAATCTGCATATGGTCTAAACAATTAAGAGTCACTATCTCTGTTTGGTATTCCTTATTAAAACTAGAAACTATAATAAAACGAATAAAAGTCACTGTCTATAATGAGAATTCCTTAATTAAACTTCAACATGTGTGATTCACTCCCGGGGATTCACTGTTGAATATTGCTTATTATGCAGTCTGATTGATATGAACTTTATGTAGTAAAATAGATGGCATCGTATACATTAGGGAATTACCTATCTCTTCTCGCGAAGTCTCGTGCCGCCATAGAAAATTTTGAAATAATTTAAAAAGTGATGATTTTCCTATAGTATCAGCGCAATTACATCGTGCATAACAACTTATGTATGGTAAGTTTAACAATTTATCATATAACATTACATTGGGACAAATATATTAAAAAAACAAATGGGAATCAAAAGAAATCAACTCCAAAGTAGCGCTGGGTTCAAAAAAATTTATTTTTCTGAAGTTTGAGGATTTTAATACAGGTGCATCCACGGCTCTAGTGACCCTATCAAAACTCCAATAGTCAAATAAGTCACTAGAGCCGTGGATCCACGTCTAGTAATGTTTATAATGGTTAAATGTGCTTGCAATTAACTCAAGTATTTTGTGCTGAAAAGTAATCCGGAAATCACTGGAAAATTAGCGCCTCAGTATGAATTAAACACAACACAGGAGTAAGCAGGTGTTGAATGGAAGCTGGAGATGAAAATATAGAAATGGGATGCTCTTCCCCAGGTTGTCATGACGATATATCAAAAATATGATATTCTCAAAACAGATTCTTTTACATGGAAACTATGAGATTGCCATATTTACTTTTTCAGTATTTTAGGGCAGTTTGAGGCACAGAACTAAAAATTTGGTGAATTAGAGAAAATCGGTTGTATAACACAATGAAGGGGTTCCCTTAATTTGAGATATTTCTTGGGTAACTATGAGATTGCCTGAATTTTTAGACAGTCTAAGGCACAGAACTAAAATTTTGGTGAATTAGAGAAAATGGTGTTATAAAAGAATGGAAGGGTAACCTCAATTTGATATATTTCTTGGGGCTATATTTAAACTGTAAATTCTCAAAGCTTGTGGTTCAATAAGTCATCATACTTCCATTCCTTGGATATCTGTAAGCCAAGATGCCCTCCTTATCTTTTCAATGTCAGCAAATCCCATGTAAAGGTAAATGGCCTCTGCTGGGGGGTGAATCCATTACCATACTACTACTAGTGTTGCTTTACACAACATGTGTCACCCCCATAGGTGTGTGCCTTGTAAGGAATCACATTATGGGTGATAAAGTGAAATAGCTTATACTTGAAAATTAACAGGGGTCTAGTGAAAAAACGTATATGTGTTTGTACTCTTATCTATGAATGTTACAATCAGTTTGGAAAGCAACTTCAACTTAGTTCCAGGCAAGGTGTGTCTGATTCCAGCCAATCAGAACATTCTATTTCTCATAACTGCATTCAGTTATATAACCAATTACGCATTGTATGGTTGACAAGGTGATAAATGGACCCACGGATTGAAATTGATGCTTTGCCAACTTGACCCTTGCAAAAAGTTTCATTGAAAATGTGTTCTTTTAGTGATTTTGTATCTTTTATGTGATTTTGTAGAAAATATTTTGCAATATATGAAAAGAATTTAAGCCCTCGACTCAGTGCATTATTTGCTGAATCATCATTCCATTGAAGGTATTGTTTCCAAATCTTTGCATGGCTGTGCAGTGGGAATGCAAAGTTTAGGAAACAACGTCTAAGTGGAATGAAGCAGCCACAATGCATTGAGGCTGCTTATAAATAGGTATATTAAATTATATTTAATTGCAATAAATAACGAATCACCGTGTGAGCCTACCAAATCCTGGAATTTTGACAGTTGAGAGTACTTTTTTGTATCAAGATTAATTTCAGAAGGACCATGTCATTTGCATTGTGATTCTAATAATTTGAATTACAGTTCAATGATATCCATACCCTTTCTAATAGTTAGCTTATGTAATAAACTAGGCACTAACATTCAGAGTATAATATCACCATAGTTTAGAAATGAAAATGTTGAAGTGTGTGGAATATCCCAATAACTGTTGTTTCTTTATATATCTTAGCTGGAGCTGTTCACATTCTTTTAATTTAACTGTATGAATTAAATGAATGTATGAATTGTGGCCACCATAAGGACAGGTACTTATGCTTATTAATGATGATTTTGACTTTTGATTGATATTCTGGTTAGCCTTGAAACTATACAGAACAGATAAAAGCCAGAGTAACATTCTTAAACTAACTTTCACATGGACAAAACATTTAAACATTTGTTTATGCCTTGTTTTCAAGTAACAAGAGATACTCTCGTAAAGTTACACTTAAGTGTCAAATATTAACACATGTACAATACAAAGATAGAATCTACAAGTGAATACCTTGTGTTTACTGTTGGCGGCAAACTCTATTTCACAATGTAAAATCATATGAGGGATCGATCATTTTGTTCTCTTCAAGGCAAATGTTGAAAACCTGTTAGTAGTTTGTCATAATGCAACAACATGTTGAAACATGGAACAGATATTCTCCCAGGGCTTAGAAACATTTACAAATGTTAGAGGCATTCTATAATAAGATGCAACAAGACATTCTTTTCTAGTTGGAGAATATAAGAGGGTATTCTATTGTCGAATATAATGAGGCATTCCATTCTCATCTATGGGGCATTTTTTCCAAGAACACAACATGTCACGAGGATATGTTTAATAGGCTTGTGTTTTCTATATATACTATATGCTAGTACTATCTATATATTTTGTATACTAGTATTACATTTCTTAATTCAACACTGAAATTCTAAGACTTTCATTTAAAGTAGAACTGTTGAATGACCTGTGATTGATTTGTAACCAAAATCTTCAATCATTAGTTCAGATTTTATTCAACACACTTTTTGAGTTACATGAACTTATCTTTTAAATGTAACTTCATGTAGTTATTTTAAGGCTTGATATATTTTCTCAATCTCATTAATATACATTAATCATCATTAGATTACAAGCTAATCATAAATATAAAATTATAAAACATGCAGATATAAAGCAAAGGATATAGATATTTGTTTGCAATATGTAGTTTGTAAAATATAAAACATCAAGAATTTTTAGAAACGAGCCTATATGTTTTAACACAGCATAATTGTATGATATATGAGTATAGTATACTATAAGTACATGTATGTACGGAATCTCAAGCATTTTGTATGCATGGTATAATATAAGACACCTGTTGTATATTATTTAAGAACATGTAATTTTGGAGAATGTAACTTATTTGGAGGCCTGTTACTAGTCAAGCGTGTGTTCTGATATTAAGGGACCTGTTATTTTGTATGATTATGAATGGACTTGTTATTTTTTGCTTGATTATTAATGGATCTGTTATTTTGTGTTATTGCAGGCAATGGCCAGAGCTGCGGGCGAACCATCCAGAGATTCCCTGAGAAAGATTGGGATGACTGTCCCTATACACAAGGCATTGAACTGGTAGGTCTTTTTTAGCTATTTTTTAGCTATTTTTTATGCTATTTTTTATGCTATTTCTATTAAAAATATCGATGAATAGCCAAATTTAGATATTTCAAGATTATCCAGAGTGTTATGTTTCGGTGGTTGGTTCATGGTGTTTGGCATTAGACAGTTGGTGTTTGGTGTGTGTAACAAATGGCAGGTGGTGACATTTTGTTTCTTTTTTATTCTATTATCTTCTCTATTGTTTCATTTTAAAACATGAGCTTTGACCCCATTAGACTTGAATATGTTTCTTATTTTTACAGATTAGTTTAATTAGATCTCACCATTCAACAAATAACTTTAACCTTATGGTTCATATATCTCAAAAATACTGTTTAGAATATCATTAAAATGCTCATTGTTTTGGAAAGCAAATATCTTATTGTATTGGAAACTTTCAAATATTTTTGATTAATTTGTAGAATAAAAGTAAACACTCTGTCTAAATTATATTTCAGTTTTGCCAGCCAACAGGATGGGATCTTTCCTCCAAGCGCCAAGAGCCAACATTTTTCGTATCAGTGTTGACGGACATTGATGCAGATCGTCACTATCTGAGTTGTTTGACTTTCCACGAGGGGGTTCCACTGACTGCCGTCCCCAAACCAGATGAGTCTGATGAAGTCCCAGAGAATAATCACAATAACCATATCGTGCAGCCCTCTATGATGTTCGCTCCAAAGTCTCTTGTTCTCATATCATCCCATGACTCATTTGAGACTTTAAGGGTAATTTTGTTTGGATTTATTTTCACGGAGGAGTTGTAATGGAATGAATTAAACTGCAGTAGTATTTCAAATTCTTCAGAGTTGAGAATTAGACGTTGGTAATATATGTTTTCTTTGGGAGCATTTTTCTTTTTCCATACATTGAACATTAATAAAGGTTTGTGAAAAAAATTGAAATATTTTTCAAATTGTGATTGCTGCAAGTAGAACCCTTAAGCAAAGTTATACAAAAAGAAGAGAGTTTAAAATGTTATAATATACTTTCAGCAAGTATTGCCAAAATGGATTAAAATATTCAACTTTTTGGGAGAACAAGTTTCTGTGAATTCTCGTGATTTTCATAATTCTGAAGAATTTCAAAGCTTAAAAAGCTAATGTCAGTCACCAATATTTGTAATTTCCTTTTCAGAATTGTCTAGGTCTGATCTACACAGTTTATATTGAAAACATCCCGAATGTCCAAATAGAAACACTTATTGGAAACATACTCAGTTCAGTACAGGTGCCGCCACCTGGTAAGTATAACATTATTTATGTCACGTAAAAAGTAAAATTATTTCAACTTTGTTCTCATTTCAAATTCAGTCAAAGTTAGTGTATTGAATACAGAACAATTGTTAGACAATTAAAGTAAAAGTCTATCAGCTGATCATGTTGTTACCCTTTGTTCTTTCTTAATAACACATAACATATGCTTATGGGGTCACACATTGCATTCCAGGGGGTCCACAAGTTCGGTTCTCAATAGGAGCAGGGGACAGGCAGGCTCTGCAACCTCCACTCTCTCATACAATTCCTACTACTAATGAAACTGTAGCCACACTCTTTCAACAATTATGTAAGTACCATAGTCCTTGTAAGAGGAAGGAAAAGAAATGCATGATATCATTGGCTCATTGCATGTCTCAATAACACAGAAGCCATGCTATTATATGTTATGAGTACCATTCATATTGTAACACGTAAAGTAGCTTTGGAAAGGACATTAATTAATGTGGAAATTAATGTGTGTACCTTTGTCTAAATGTGCCACATATTGTCATATGGAAGTAGCTTTGGAAAGGAATGAAACTACATTATGTTCAACAGTATGTGTATCTTACATAGTGTTTGAAGCTAAGCTTGTCATATAAAGAGCTTTGAAGAATTTCAGGAAAAGCCAAGGAGTGAAGAAATACAACAATTCAAATGAATCCTATCAGTTTGCTTAATATAGTCTTTCATCAGATCTACCTTACTATCAATTCCCCGTAGAAGGTTTATACACATCATAGTCTATCAAACATCAAATAATAAACCGCATTCTTATTTTCAGCAATCAACACCATCATCCAGTTGTTCTGTGCAGCACTATCAGACCACAAGATTCTGTTCCTGTCCAACAGCTACAATAGACTCACTTCAGCTTGCCAGGCTCTCACAGCTCTCCTATATCCCTTCAAATATACGTAAGTCATCTAATACATTTGATTGACATGTCTGTGGGAAACATACTTAATTGTGTTGAAATGTAAGAAAAATGAAGCTATTTATTCACATTTTTGAGAGAAATATGAGGAAATATAAGCCTTTTGGCAACTACAGAAATATTTTTGTTAATTGGTGGCCTTCAAGTTGCTTTGTATATCCATATGATGTTATATACTATACTACATTATAATGTTCTCATTTCTTCAGTTATGTGTACATCCCAGTCTTACCCGCCCACCTCATTGAAGTACTGAACACACCAACCCCATTCATTGCTGGAGTCCATGGATCTCTGAAGCTGGAAGTACAAGATCTGCTAGATGTGATAATATGTGACCTAGATGGTGGTAGCGTAATGATACCAGAGTGTGTGCAGTTGTCTATTATACCAGAACCTGCACATACTAGAGTCACTGATGCTCTTAAAAAGGTATGCCTTAAATTGAAAACTCATAAATTGAAAAGTGATATTCTTGAATTAGGGTGATCTACTTGTCTCACATTCTGCAAATTGATGATGAACATCTGAGATAATATACATGTAATATCCAATATTTGAAGATTTGTCATTGTAAGCAATTTATCTTTATATTGGTTGTTCATATTAGTACACTTATGTTGTATTCTTTTTTACAGTTGCTACACCCCGATCTCTCATGGGCAGACAAGGCCTTTCCTCCCTCCCCCTCATCAATGAAGACAACAGCACGAGATATGTTAGATAAAGAAATTAGGGCTGTGTTTTTACGACTTTTTGCTGAAATCCTGATTGGCTATCGGTCGTGTCTTACTCTCATACGAATTCACCCTGAACCCTTCATCACTTTCCACAAGGTAAGCAAATGAAAAATTGTAAAATATTTCAACGTAGTCTAGTGCAACACAGTCTGGATAATTTCCCAAGGGTGTCATATAAATCAAAAAAATGAAATCTCAGTTTTATGTGAGCTACATTAAAATATATAAAGAGGAACAATCCAAAATTAGAATTATTGATCTGTGAACTGTGTAGAAAAATATGAGGATGAATTGTTGTATGAAAATAGAAAAATTAAAATAAAAAGTGTTCAAATATATTAGACATCTGATGAAAACAAAGATGAAAAAAATAAGAGCCAATATTTTTTAAAATTTCAGGCCAACTTCCTTGGTCATAGAGGTCTTGTGGAAGATGATTTCATGACCAAGATGCTTGACAGCATGTGCTTCAGTGCATTTGTCTCGGAGAGGGGACCCCCATATAGAATCTGTGATATTTACGATGAGGTGGGCTTTCTTATTTATTATTCCTCACACTATGTAATGTTTGTTGCCAGAAATTGCACCATTTCTATTTAAAGACTGGATAATTTGAGTTTGGTCAAATGTTTTTAAGAATATTGAAAACATTTGAGGTTATCATGACCTGTTTAGAAAATATACAGTAATGATTTTAAAATTATGAACATTCATCTGAATTATAGAAATACAATGTACAAGAAAGTACTATTTATAGATTTTTCATCAATTTTTTCCCTGAAATTATTGATATTTTCCTATGCTTATGATAGACATTTTAATTGTAATTCAATCATTTAGAAAAATAAATGTCTATAATAAGTTCAATAATTCTTTTTACTTTGAAAAATGTAACCACAATTTTCTTGATTTTGATATTTATTTTCACTGAAACAGTGAAAATGAATGAATGAAAAATTGATTTTATATTCGTGTTCAGGTGTTTGCCAGTATGCAGACTGTGATAAATGAGGAGAGGTTGTCCAATGAAGCAATGATGAACCATATAAAACAGATAGCCCAACAGCTTTACATCAATGTAAGTAGTACAAAATGTGCAATGATGAACCATATAAAACAGATAGCCCAACAGCTTTACATCAATGTAAGTATATAACAAAATGTGCAATGATGAACCATATAAAACAGATAGCCCAACAGCTTTACATCAATGTAAGTAGTACAAAATGTGCAATGGTGAACCATATAAAACAGATAGCCCAACAGCTTTACATCAATGTAAGTATATAACAAAATGTGCAATGATGAACCATATAAAACAGATAGCCCAACAGCTTTACATCAATGTAAGTATATAACAAAATGTGCAATGATGAACCATATAAAACAGATAGCCCAACAGCTTTACATCAATGTAAGTAGTACAAAATGTGCAATGGTGAACCATATAAAACAGATAGCCCAACAGCTTTACATCAATGTAAGTATATAACAAAATGTGCAATGATGAACCATATAAAACAGATAGCCCAACAGCTTTACATCAATGTAAGTAGTACAAAATGTGCAATGATGAACCATATAAAACAGATAGCCCAACAGCTTTACATCAATGTAAGTATATAACAAAATGTGCAATGATGAACCATATAAAACAGATAGCCCAACAGCTTTACATCAATGTAAGTATATAACAAAATGTGCAATGATGAACCATATAAAACAGATAGCCCAACAGCTTTACATCAATGTAAGTATATAACAAAATGTGCAATGATGAACCATATAAAACAGATAGCCCAACAGCTTTACATCAATGTAAGTATATAACAAAATGTGCAATGATGAACCATATAAAACAGATAGCCCAACAGCTTTACATCAATGTAAGTATATAACAAAATGTGCAATGATGAACCATATAAAACAGATAGCCCAACAGCTTTACATCAATGTAAGTATATAACAAAATGTGCAATGATGAACCATATAAAACAGATAGCCCAACAGCTTTACATCAATGTAAGTAGTACAAAATGTGCAATGGTGAACCATATAAAACAGATAGCCCAACAGCTTTACATCAACGTAAGTATATAACAAAATGTGCAATGATGAACCATATAAAACAGATAGCCCAACAGCTTTACATCAATGTAAGTAGTACAAAATGAGCAATGATGAACCATATAAAACAGATAGCCCAACAGCTTTACATCAATGTAAGTAGTACAAAATGAGCAATGATGAACCATATAAAACAGATAGCCCAACAGCTTTACATCAATGTAAGTAGTACAAAATGAGCAATGATGAACCATATAAAACAGATAGCCCAACAGCTTTACATCAACGTAAGTATATAACAAAATGTGCAATGATGAACCATATAAAACAGATAGCCCAACAGCTTTACATCAATGTAAGTAGTACAAAATGAGCAATGATGAACCATATAAAACAGATAGCCCAACAGCTTTACATCAATGTAAGTAGTACAAAATGAGCAATGATGAACCATATAAAACAGATAGCCCAACAGCTTTACATCAACGTAAGTATATAACAAAATGTGCAATGATGAACCATATAAAACAGATAGCCCAACAGCTTTACATCAATGTAAGTATATAACAAAATGTGCAATGATGAACCATATAAAACAGATAGCCCAACAGCTTTACATCAATGTAAGTATATAACAAAATGTGCAATGATGAACCATATAAAACAGATAGCCCAACAGCTTTACATCAATGTAAGTATATAACAAAATGTGCAATGATGAACCATATAAAACAGATAGCCCAACAGCTTTACATCAACGTAAGTATATAACAAAATGTGCAATGATGAACCATATAAAACAGATAGCCCAACAGCTTTACATCAACGTAAGTATATAACAAAATGAGCAATGATGAACCATATAAAACAGATAGCCCAACAGCTTTACATCAACGTAAGTATATAACAAAATGTGCAATGATGAACCATATAAAACAGATAGCCCAACAGCTTTACATCAACGTAAGTATATAACAAAATGTGCAATGATGAACCATATAAAATAGATAGCCCAACAGCTTTACATCAATGTAAGTAGTACAAAATGTGCAATGATGAACCATATAAAACAGATAGCCCAACAGCTTTACATCAACGTAAGTATATAACAAAATGTGCAATGATGAACCATATAAAACAGATAGCCCAACAGCTTTACATCAACGTAAGTATATAACAAAATGTGCAATGATGAACCATATAAAACAGATAGCCCAACAGCTTTACATCAATGTAAGTATATAACAAAATGTGCAATGATGAACCATATAAAACAGATAGCCCAACAGCTTTACATCAACGTAAGTATATAACAAAATGTGCAATGATGAACCATATAAAACAGATAGCCCAACAGCTTTACATCAACGTAAGTATATAACAAAATGTGCAATGATGAACCATATAAAACAGATAGCCCAACAGCTTTACATCAACGTAAGTATATAACAAAATGTGCAATGATGAACCATATAAAACAGATAGCCCAACAGCTTTACATCAACGTAAGTATATAACAAAATGTGCAATGATGAACCATATAAAACAGATAGCCCAACAGCTTTACATCAACGTAAGTATATAACAAAATGTGCAATGATGAACCATATAAAACAGATAGCCCAACAGCTTTACATCAACGTAAGTATATAACAAAATGTGCAATGATGAACCATATAAAACAGATAGCCCAACAGCTTTACATCAACGTAAGTATATAACAAAATGTGCAATGATGAACCATATAAGACAGATAGCCCAACAGCTTTACATCAACATAAGTAAATAACAAAATGTGCAATGATGAACCATATAAGACAGATAGCCCAACAGCTTTACATCAACGTAAGTATATAACAAAATGTGCAATGATGAACCATATAAAACAGATAGCCCAACAGCTTTACATCAATGTAAGTAGTACAAAATGTACAATCCAAATGCAGTTTCTTAAGCACCAGGTAGAAGGTGGTGGTTTTCTCTGGATGTTGTTTTATCAAAATTGCTAATTGTTTTTGCGGATGGGGGTTGGTGGTTGGCGGTTGGCGATCGGCGTCTGTAACAAATTCTTACAACTTCCAATAACTTAACAAATACTGTTGAGACTGACTTTTTTCAAAATCATCTTCAAGTTTTCAGAAGTTCAAATTTGACTTAAGATTTAAGATTTGACCTTCAATGACCATCTCAAGGTCAAAACAGGTTAAAAAGGTAAAAAAGGTCTTTTTCAACATGCATCAATTGACCAAATTTTTTTCAAAATCATCTACAAGTCCTCGAAACTTCAAATCGGACTATAGATTTGAGATGTTGACCTTTAATGACCTTTTCAAGGTAAAAAAGAGCAACTAGGTGGTAACATTTTGTCATGTTAATGCCTTGTTTCCTTTTGCCTTCGATCAAAATTTTAATGAATTGTGTTACATGTTAAGTTGTAATCAAACTTCATAAAAGTATTTAAAAATCTAAAATAGAGTTGAAAAGAGCTAAAGTAAAGATAATAAAGTAAAAATGTTACATGAAGTAAATAGTGTATGTAAAAACAAAAAATGAAAAATCTTCTTATTTTGAATTATTATTTTAATATTTAAATTAATATTTTAGGAAAATCCAAATCCACAACCATATGTGCAAAAAATCCCAAAAGCAACTGAAGGATCTCACAATCGGATACATATTCCTTCCTTTCCTGCGATAGACTGGGTCCACGTTCAGGAGATAATTGACGAAGGTGTCACAAAGAGTAATATTAAAGCGAGGTAGGTGTATGTGTTATTAGATATGATTGGTCTCTGTGACTAAGCGGGAGTAAAGTTTTCACGCAAATGACATATGATTGGTCTGATTAGTTTTAGGGGTGTTTGCATTTACATTTTTGTTGATAGTTGATACAAATTCAGATATAACATAATAGGTATGAAATATGAAGCACTTTGGCAAACACTTCTAAACAATCTATACTCTATGTCTTGAAATCTGGTGAGAATAATTATTGAAGAATCAAGTGTTTTTTCTATTGTTGCTTTTCAGTTTGCTAATACACAATATTGATTTCCCTTTTCAAATCACATTATAGAAATGCTTGCTGCGCTCCTTTCTCTGGTTCTTTGGTTCAAATTTTCACAATCGTCAACTTTATCATGTTGTATTTACTACCTAACCAAAGGGATTGATGGTCAAAATTATTATGTTTCTTTGTATTCTTTGATTTAGTAGTCTCATTCTCAAATCTGGTGTAGGGATTGCTTAATGTTTAACTTTCTTCTAGAAGTGATGTGGCCTGTCTTTTTCAAAACTATTTTCCAACTTAAAATCTCAAATGCTCTTTGGGAACTGTGTCCAAATGTCACGATATATAGAGTCAATTATTTCTAAGGAGGGCTAAAGCCCAGTTTCAATACATACAATGTATATATTAACCATGTTAAGAGTATCTTAATCTTAGTTTTTTGGGGGGGGGGGGGTAAAGGGTAAAACCAAAATCTGTTTCATTTTTTTCTTTATTAACTGTTGACCATTGGGCACAGTCTCTCAACCAATGCTTTCTATCAGTTTTAACTATTAGCAATAACTTTTTTATCCAGACAGAAGCAAAGACAACGTTTCAGGTATATCTCCTATAGTCGCCATTTTAGCTTTGCCAGGCTAGACTAATGGAGCAACCTAGGATGCTGCAAAAAAACTAATCAATCAATCTATCCAGTGTGACTTGTGCTTGAGTTCTACAAAATAAAAATAATTTGAAACTAAAATTGACTTCATTCAACTGTCTGCTTGCTAAACTTTCACATTCAAATCCATTTCATCATATCATTACAGAATTGTGATATTTAGCCCATAATTGCAGTGATACCATCTAGATACTAGTAGATAGTATTGAGCTATAACTTTGGTCAGAACTCCCTCAAATAGTTCGACCTTTGTTTATTTTTAAGCCTTTTAAGGATTGCTTTTAGAATTTGAAGCCTTGCATAGATTTAGTTTTCTAGATTTTATTTAGTTTGTGGAGTGATGGTTGATGAAGTTTTCGTCAAACATGGAATGTTTTTTTTTATTAATTCTGTTATTAAGATTATTCATGTATTGAAAAATATAACATTAAATTTGTTATTTGAATGTAACTTTTTTATGGCGTAATAATGTTACATAAATCTTTTTTCCATGACCTAAAAATCAACCCTCAAGACATTATACAAGATATTTTTATGTCCTAAATGTTAAAGATAATAAAAATTAAGTTTGGAGAAAGGATTTATACAAAATATCTATTTTCAATGACACTTTAACTAACAAATACATAGGTTGAAAATATTTGTTCAATCTTCAAAAAAATGATAGTAATTTGAAATTGTTACGATTTTGTAGCGATGAAAATGATAATGATGATACCGATGGCAGGTAAACGCTTGTGAGGTTTAGCAGCATCATAAATTGCTATATCGTAAACTGTATCAGCTCAGTCTCTCACTTATTAGGACCTCTTCTATTATCATTTTTCTGTTGACATTTTTTCACAATCCGGAACAAAATCAGTACTTTTTCACAATTTTTTATGTCTTGGTGCATTTTGTCAAATTGCCCTAATCTGTTTTAAAAAATATTTTGGGAAATTATTATAGAATGGGATGTTTCAGGAGAAAATAAGAATATTAAAGTATACCAGTATACATGAGGCATGGGTAAAATTTCATGGCTGGTCATTCCTTGCAAAATTCCATGAAAAGAGTGGAATTAGCATGGTGAAATTAAAGAAGTCGTGAAGTCCACCATCAGATCTGTTCAGAAATATCAGAAAATCAAATCTGCTTCATTCAACTTTTAGTGAGAAACTGCATGAATTAAGCCAAAATGTCACTCACGAGCAAATCATCTTTCCTATTACACCTATCACTTGTATTATATTATCAGTTAACATCCATTGCATGGGTTGAACATTTAGCTTCCTAACACAGTTAGAATTGCATGGCGATGTTGTCTATAAAGAAACCATGACAAAAACACGAACTTTGTTATTGACAAGATGTATTGTTATCCAGTATTTCAATGTTTTTATGTATTTGTTTATTCTTCTTAGGTGGTTAGGTTGTATATGTCTTATTATATAAATGAGATGAAATATATTTTTATTTTAGATTTTTAAAGTTTTGAATTGAGAAATACACAATTTGATGTATTATTGAAGCATTTTTTAAGAGTTTGTATCGTATGTTTCATTTTGAATGATTGCACAGAACAATTAAAGAAAATACTGGCATATTGATTGCATGATAAATAAAAATACAGTTTAAGTTTCATAAAAAATTAAATGGTGTATTTTTCTCTTTTTTCCAACTTCATTATTTGGGTGCTTTGTGTAAGTATTTGTACTATAAAGCTATATCTTGTATGTTTATGTTGACTCGTTAATGGAAACTAGAATTTCATCCCATATGGCCATGTTTCAATGCAAAATATATCAGGCACATGTGAAATTAAAAAGAAACATGGAATCAAAAGTTTCTCAATGTGTAGTCAAGAAAGCACAAATAGCAACATTAGAAAACAAAAAAACAGCTCTTGCCCATATAAAACATTCAAACTTTATATGGGAATCAAGAAAATATGGAATTTACTCACATGTTGGATGAAATTCTGTTCTTCTCTGTATATTTGGTATTTGGCTGTATGGTATAATAGTCTTATATGTGGTATAGTCTTATATGTTCTGTTTATTATGTTCAGTGTGTGACAGTTATTATACAAATTATGAGACAAGATAGATTCATTATTAATATGATAACTAATTTTATATCAATTTAGAACCTTGTAGAACCCCATATGTATTGAATTTGTAAAAGAAATGGAAACCTGGTTACTCACAAATGATAATTTTTCTTTGAAATATTAACATTGAAACAACACAAATATAACATGAATTATGCATTCTCAAAATACTAATTGGAAAGTTTAACCCAGAGAATTTAAGGGCAAAGTCTGATATTGCCTAATTTTATTTTAATGTTTGTTAATGTATGCTTATACATTGTAAGCAGTTAATATCAATAACAGTATATAAGATATATGCAATAAATATCTGGTATTACACAATGAATATCTTATATGGTGTTCTTCAGTGAATACCTTATATGGTGTTTGCAATGAATACCTTATATGGTATTCTGCAATAAATACCTTATTCTGCAGTGTATGTATGCAACTTTCATGGAAATAATCATGGACATTAATTTGAATCCTCATGTAACAATCATTAATGAAGAAGTATTTAATATCATGATTTTTAGCTTTGCCTGGGTGTTGTTTGGTTCAGTTGGTGTTGTTTGGTTCAGTTGGTGTTGTTTGGTTTCTTGTATTTTTGTTCGGGTTATATCATAAGTAAACACAGTCTCGTGCACAGCCTCAGAAATTGAGACAATCCTGTATTGATTTACCTGAGAATTGGATAATTACTTGACTTTTCTTGAGGCTGTATGCCAGACTAAGCACAAAATAACAAAAATAAGTAATTTATATGATAATGTTCATACACCTGCAATATTTAATATCACACAGTAATACAAATTTTTGTTTATGACACTGGTTGGTAATGGTATTGAGGTGGATGCACTTCTTTAATTCGGTGAATGCATAATTGCATATTGAGTGCAGTCAAACATATATGAACAGTTAAACATTTGAGATCTGATAATTAAAGTCCAAAAGCTAACCAACCTACTTAGTAATGAGTTTTCATTAATTAAATGTTTGACTGTCTCTCTGAATTAACACATTATTTTGTAATTTAAATGGCTAAATTAAAAAAAGTGAATTCTCAGTTTGAATTGTTTTTGTTGTTTGTTTGAATGTGAATTAATTAATTGTTCCTGTATTTGAAACATTTATATGTACATGTATATTGCTTTGACTTTACCAGTTGTTCATTTTTCATTAAAGCTTTTTTCACAACATTGAGATTAAAAATAATTTTGAAGCTTCAAATGAGAGATATTAAAGAAACAAACACGCATGTCAGATGCTTCACAATGCTTTGGATTTCTCACATCAGTTTCTGCTCAATATTTGTGTGTCAACTAGTGTGATAATCCTCTTCACTTTTGAGAGTAAATCGTTCCTTTAAAGCTACCTTGCATCAAGCCTGTTGTATTGACGCCTTCTCTCTATTTGCTTCAACTGGGGACCATATCTTAATTTTGTGACATTCACTTTTCTTTCCAACTGTGAAAGACTAATGAATTCCACAATTCTTAATTTACGATATCAGAACAATATACATATTTCTAGAATATTCCTCCTGTTCTAGCTAATTGCGAGAAAGGGAAATACGCAATGACCTGGTGCAAGTTAGTACATGTAAAGTTTTGTGTGTACTATTGTATTTTTTACCAGATTCATTGATTTTAACACTTGTGTTCTCCACTTTAGGATGACCAAAACCAGACCTCAACAACCACGTATAGTCCCCATGGGAGCCTCAGTCAGTCAGTCTTCAGACAAGTCCATTGTAAGCTCCAATGCAAGAAGACTTGAGGTGCTCAGGAATTGTGTGGCATTCATCTTTGAGAATAAAATCACTGATGCTCGGAAGGTATGTCTTGATCTCTTTGGAGATTCAAAATTATGAAGTAATTTTGGGCTATATTAAATTAATTTCGTACTCTATTCATAAAGACAGTGTTTTCAGGCTTAAAAGATGACCTTGACATTATCAAATCTTGGACATTTAAAGGGAATTTGACCACTGTACACTCCTCTTAACATGTTATTTTCCAAAGTCTTATCAATTTTTCATTACTTCTCCAAATCTAGCCTATATTAAATTTTCTTAAAGTTTGTATGAATGTACTTTTATATATAAATTATATATAAAGTCAGAATATAAATCAACCAATATCATGATCCAGTGAAACATTAAGCTGTAATGAGTTATTGTATTACAGATCTTCCCAGCTGTGTTGCGTGCAATGAAGAGTAAGATGGCAAGACTAGCTCTCACCCATGAATTAGCATACCATGTACAAACCAATAAGGCACAATTAGAACATCAACAGTTTGATCTTGTTGTGAGACTCATGAACTGTGCACTGCAGGTTTGTTTGTTAAGTCAATAGAGCAAGCCAGAAGACAATTTATTGTAATACAAGACAAATCTGTTATATCAATAAAACAAGTCTAAGTGGAACACCTTTTGTATCTTTAAAAAGTGATCCACTTGGGAGGTGTTCCACCGTTCCACTTATAGAGGTTTATTTAACATAAAGCCAGTTGGTCTTGGGTCTCTTAAAAATGTTCCACTAACAGAGGTGTTACACTTTACATGTTTCGCTGTATTGATATTTTTTGGGATTTCTTTTTTAAATGATAATTATAATGATATCATCATCAGTGATGTAATCAAAGAAGAAGCGTGAAAACCTTAGATGAATAGTCAGTAATGGATAAAAATCACATTCCTTTAAAGTCGTAGGAATTTTGAATGTTCAGAATGATGTTTATTGTTGAACCTTTTGACTTTCAGAATGACTCTAGCAATGATGAGAATGGAGTTGCTGCCGCTATCTTGCCATTAGCCACTTCCTTCTGTAGGGTGAGTTGAGATACACTAAACTAAGTAATAAATAAGTATTTCCGACAAATGATAACTCATTCGATATATGCATGTTAAAGTGATATATATATATATATATAGAGAGAGAGAGAGATATTAAAGGAATTGTAAAAATAGACAATTGCAAAAATAGATCAATTCTCAATTGTATTTGTAAAGTATGAAAAACGTGAGACATTTTTGATTTTATGGGCCTTACAGAAAGTTTGTACAGGGTGTCTCCAATTTGCATACACATGTATACAATGTCACCCTGTATGGTCACAACAAAGATTCTGGGAGATGGCCTTCTATACCGATGTAGAGAAGGATATTACAAAGCTTTATAGGGACACAATGGAGCTTGTAAGCCAGGAGGTATTCAGATTGCGGGATATGGCCATTCATGTGCAATATTAATGATAGAGGCCTTTAGAGAAACACTTCTTAGCATTGATCTTGCAACTTTCATACAGAGGCATGAGGCATGAAAACTTGTATTTTATCAATTTGAAAATTGATGATTTTTGGCTGTGAATCATCTATAATTTGCTCAAATTGATTCAAGTCATATTGCGATGATGAAATGACTATTATCTAAGCTTGCAATGCTAAAGGACTCATGTCAGTGATATTGCACGTATGTAACAATGTTTAATGCTGTATTATCATGCACCCATTGGTTCTTGTTGGCCTAGCAGCTTGTAGTTTACACTTCTTATGCAGCTGTTCTATTTAACCCCCTTACAGAAACTCTCAACGGGGATCATCCAGTTTGCATATACCTGCGTTCAGGAGCATGCTGTTTGGAACAATACCCAATTTTGGGAAGCAACATTTTATCAAGATTGTGAGCGTCAAATTCGGCAGTTATATTTGCCCGATTATCAGGACCAACTGGGGGTACTTACTCATATAGCAACTCGTAGCCCTCGGAGTCAGGTAGGTCAAAGTGCCAATAAAAATGGTTTGAAATTATTAGAAGAAAAGAGAGTAGTTAACATTACATGAACTGTTGATTAGTTGATGATGTTTCATCTTTAATATGACTTTGTGCAATGGTGACGTCGTAGTTGAAATGTTTCTCTTTGGGGACTGAAATTTATGATTATTGATGAGTTTGATTGTCTCTATGTTGAACATTAAAAAGGGGAGGATTGATTTCTTTCTGAGGAATGTAGGAAATGTACAACATTTTGAATATTGCCTAAAATGATGAATTAATTTTTGACTGTCTTTGTGTATAGTTTTTGTGAAACTGGTGTCCTTTATTATATATTTAGATTACATTGGCTAGATTAGAGAATAGTATACTAGTGCTGCTAGACATATTTCATAAATGGAAATGAAAATAGAATTACATAGATACATGTATACTAATAGAGATAACAATATGGGCAATATCACTGGGGAGTATCGTGATGCAACAACACCGTGTTGTTGCATCAAGATGGCCAGACTTCCGGTGATAGATTTTCGTACGATATTTTGTTTCCCCAATTAAACCCATTTCTAGGACGAGTTGCTCAATAACCATACACGTGCAGTTAGCGAACGATCTATATTTAAAGAAACTGTCATTAGTATACATGTACCATCACCAAGAAGCAATAAGTTCACGGTTTTAGTTCCTCACTATTGATGCAACAACACCAAACCGAAGATGCAACAACACTCCTCTAGATTTGAGCAATGATGCAGCAACACCAATTAATAGTATAATTTCAGAAGACCATAAATCTCGAGAGGAACAGATTTTTAAATGCTACTATTGCAATACCGTTACCAATTAGCCTACCCATATTTGCGTTCTTCTCAAGGCATTCAAAATACACGTCCTGTGGGCGAAGATCCTTTATATGTATTTTCAAAAATTTATACTTTTACATATTATAATGTACTGGACGTTATTCTATAACATAGTTCAATCGCCTTTAACATGGCAAGCTTTAGTAACCCAATCTATTTTCATAAACCACTGTTCCATAGCTTGATGGCCCTGACTCCAGTTAGTATCATTCAAAGTGGTGGACAAACATCTTTCGTTCTCGGTAAACATGATGAGCTAGTGGATATTATCATGATATTATCTGTCATCCATCTGTGGAACAGTGATAAACTAGTAGATGTACAGGGGCGGATCTGGGAACCAACAAGGGGGGGGGGGCAAATTTCAGGTCAGAGAAAAACACGTCCGCGCTTGCTGGGAAAAAAATTTTGGGCCCCTAAAACCCAAAAGTGGGCCCAAATTTTGAAATTTAGAGGCCCATTTTCTTCAAAATTTGGCCTGAAATTTGGCCAGTGATGTACGTTACCACTGTTTATCAAATTATAACTAAAACAGTTTAACTGTGACATTCGTGAGCTGATGTTGATGGGATGATTGCTTCATCTATGATATAATATGACATGATTCTTTATTTCCTACAATTTGGAGAGCCAACGTGTAAAAACGTCTAATTGATTTATTAGAGAGGCCGTTTAGTTACACGTTTAATGGAAATCTTGCACGACGCACATGTAGAATTATTGGTCTCTTTGGATTCCTTCTCTCCGACTGAGTAAAAAGGTAAACAAAAGTGATAAGATTTAGGGCCCAAAAAGGTAAATTGATAGGGGTACAGTTATCCCAGATATCCCGGGCCCTCGGGAAATATCATATTGTCTCTCGAAATAAAACCAATATTGAGTCCCTCTCAGTAAATAACTTTTATATAATAGCATTGTATAACTGCAATATCATTAAACCAACACTCATCCTATACAACTCTTGAGAACGATGTACAACTACTGGATAGCGTAAACTCCTGAGCAGCGTATACAACTCTTCAACTTGATATATGACATCATACTTTGGGTGGGATAACAAAGGATATACAATATACAATTGTAGACCCCTCTTGAGGTCAACTGGCAAAATTGTATACCGATACTGTAAACGTTGAAAGTACTGTTGATCACTGAGACCAGATGTCGAGGACACTTTTGCCAGTTGACCGAAAAGAGAGGTTAACAATTGTTCTGTTAGTCCAAATAATATAATAATTGGACGAATATATAATCGAATATCACGTGAACATATTTGATAAGTAAAGGTATCATATTTTAGCAAAAAATCCCCAAACCGTCGAATACTTGTAATTTTTTACACAACTTATTTTTTCAAAATTAAAAAAATTTCAACATTAAAAAAACAATTTTTCAAAAATAGGGGTCAACAGTACCTAGTAGTGGTCAACAGTTTACAATTGTTGACCTCCCCAGAGGCCAACCGGCAAAATTGTATACCGAGACTGTAAACCGAAAAAATACTGTTGACAGAGACCGAAGGTCGAGGTCAACAGTAGTTTCAAGGTTTACAGTCGAGGTATATGATTTTGACGGTTGATCGAATGGAGAGGTCTACTATTGTTTTGTTAGTCCGAGTAAACTAATAATACACATATAGACGACGATCATCAATCGGCATGGCTTCATTTCACAACCTTTTCTCCGAACCACGTTAGCAATATTTTTTTAGAAAATATGGAGACAGTGCAAGAAGCTTAACTCTGTATTTGGCACATCACGGCGTACTCGTTAGTGAATTAATGTTAATTTTAAGTTTCTATTTGTATTTTTGCTATACTTGTCGCCTAGTAAAGTCATTTTCATCAACACTTACAAAATGTCCGTCTTCCATGATTTTTTGTGACGTCATGAAACTTTTTTCAGAAGTAGCGGTCAACAGTACCTAGTAGCGGTCAACAGTGTACAAATAGTGACTGCCATTGAGGGAAATAGTGCAAAATATTTTCCTCAGGGGAATATCCTGTCCACTGACATGTTCCCGAGGCTGCAGGCCGAGGGAACAAGTCAGTGGACAGGATATTCCCGAGAGGAAAATTTTTACACTATTTCCCGAAAATGTGGCAGTCACTATTTGTTTTATTATATACCTGATAAAGTGATAAGTACTCTGTAAACAAAAACAAAATTGAGAAGTCTTTTCATTTCAATATCAAATGTTCACAGGTTCTTATTGGCATTTAAGGGCATTTTACCTTTCAACTCCTATAATCTCAGATTTGGGGGAAGATAAAATGTACTATTGACTGGTCACATGACCTAACTGGTGATTAGTACAATTCATCTTCCCTGAAAGCAGGGATTTAGGACTTTCCAGGGAATTTGTTCATCTATTCCATGTCATGTGACCATGAATAAGCCAATGAGCATCTAGAATACATTTGAGGTATATAATAATACATAATTTTGACCGCTAATCACCCAATCAGAATCGAGTATTTCAGTTGAGGTACTAACAATACATTTTGTTGCCCGCTCATCAACCAATCAGAATTGAGTATTTCAATTGAGGTACTAACAACACAAAATGACTGATATCTGTTGTCTTTCCAAAATTATATTAGTTATTTGTAAGCAATTTCCATACGGTAAATCAAGGGCATTTAATTTAGAAAATGTATAATCTTTATTTTTCAGATACAATATCAATGAGATTGCCTCCCGAGGATTCTGTACTTTATTTAGTTTGCCTTGTATATCCTTTTAACTTTGATATAGACAAAGAAACCAAACAAAATATGTTTCGTCCATGGACCACTGACTCACGCGTTTTATTCATGTCCCGACCTACACCTGTAAACAGAACATAAAACAGTTTCTCTTGTTGTTCAATGATACATTATATTGGCGTTTTTGCATCAGCACATTGGTGTTGTTGCATCATCGATAAGAAACAGAGTGGTGTTGTTGCATCAATAGTGAGGAATTAAAACCACGAATTTATCGCTTCTTGATGATGCTACATGTATACCAATGACAGTTTTTTAAAATATAGATCATGTGCTAACTGCATGTGTATGATTATTGAGCAACTCGTCCTAGAAATGGGTGTAAATTGGGAAAACAAAACATCGTACGAAAATCTATCACCGGAAGTCTGGCCATCTTGATGCAACAACACGGTGTTGTTGCATCACGATACCCCCCAGTGAATATAGGCCTGTATAATTAACTAGAAGCATGACTAGATCTTATTTACATATAATTGGTTTAACATAGATCGAGGAGCATTCCATAGTTCATAAACTTAGTCTTAATTTAATTTTTTATTTTCAATTTTTTAAAGTTAAAATCTTGCTTGTTATGATAAGGAATTTAATTTAATTGAAGAGAGTTTATTTAATCTTGTAACATAGCTTGATTTAAAAACATTAAAGGAATATACTGACATTAGCATAGCTATATAATTCATAATTTTTAGAAATTTAACTGATAGACAATTAAGTACCATATTAACAAAAAATATTTATCGCTAAATCTTAATGATTTTTACTTTTTAATTCCAATCAACACTTTAAAGAGATAAATAAAGATGGGGTGATTTGTGTTTTAGAGCCGTGACTCAAGGAGAAGTTGGAGCGTAGGTCCAGGGTCAAGTGGCCAACCAGAATCTCCAAAGAGACTGCAGTACCGTCCACGTGAAATTGGTGCTCTGGAAATAGCAGCTGAGCAGGTAGGTTTATAAGGGAATGCTGTACCACAAGTCACAAATGTCATGAAAAGACATGTCTCCCTCAACATTTTGATAAATATGGATGTTTTTAAAATGTGTGATTAAGTACTGGTTGAAAAATCTTCGAAATAATTACTGAAAACCAATCACATTACTGCTTCAGTGATAGAAGGTATAATTTGGCAGAAGGCAATGTGCAGTATTTTTACACATATATCAATAACACTAGATAAGTAAGTAAAATTATTGGGAAAAGGTCCAAAAAATTTGACTTCCAATTTTCTTTTCCAACTGATATCCAGTATGACTCCTGAAATATGTATTATCTGATATAATATAGGTTTTGGGATTTCGTATTTGAATATATAGTTTTAATACATCTGTAATTCATATGATTTTAGTATAGGTTGCACCTAATATCATGTACATGCAGCACTATGTAGTAGAGCGTCACTGTTATGAAAAGTATATATCCAAATTGATAAATATGAAGGAATTTCTTGTTACAGCTGCGGATATGGCCAACACTTAGTAAAGAACAGCAACAGGAGATGATAAATAATGAGGAGAGCACAGTATATAGTCAGGCAATCCACTATGCCAACAGAATGGTATATCTCAGAGTGCCATTAGATGCCAGCAGGTCCCTTTCTAGCTCCAAATATGACACTGAAGACAATAGCAATAGTAATGTAAATAGCAGGTTAGTATTGAATGAGGAAATCAACAGGTTCTTGGAGACCAAACTCCAGTTTCATTTGAAGTTGAAACATTGTCTATAGTTCAATAGCAATAGTAATGTAAATAGCAGGTTAGTATTGAATGAGGAAATCAACAGAGACCAAACTCCAGTTTCATTTGAGGTTGAGACAGTGTCTATAGTTCAATTTGCACCAGGAAGCTTGAAAGTTTTGTCAAACCCTGGGTTGAATGTTCAGTATCTTAAAATCACATTCTTTCATGATTCCTTATTAGGAAAGGGCCACAATCATCCATCATGTGTGTTCTCTAAAATTAATATGTTTGAAAGCAAGATTGTTTATATTACTCCTAGCTGATGATGTTACTCTTCCTCTTTGGTGACAAGTTTCCTGACACAAGAAGAAAGTTGAGATTTTAGGTTAGCAAAATTTTTTGAATGACCTTTTTAATTCATGATATGGTCTATGTTTTTCAGTGTCGCTGAATCAGACAGTCTCAATGAAACAGAGAGTGGTTTTGATGAAGGTGATGTCCCTGAAGTAGGGACAAACGTAGTCAAGTTTGTCACCCGCTTTGTTGACAAAGTCTGTTCAGAAAGTGGCGTGACAGAAGAACATATAAAATCTCTACATCAAATGATACCAGGTTGGCATCACAGTGATTTGCATACAATCATTTAAGAATTTAATTTAAATGAATGTGTATTAATGAATATTAAGATATTGAGATTTTACAGGAAAAGTTTTTCCAGGTGTAAAAAATGCTGTTTAGCAGTTTATTTATCTGTACTGTAATATATATTTTAAGAAATGAAGCGACATATTTTTGTTATAATCCACTACAATACTGTTTATATTTCAGGGGTAGTTGCAATGCATATAGAAACACTAGAAGCAGTACATAAAGAAAGTAAGAGACTTCCACCGATACAAAAACCAAAGATTCTCACTCCAACACTTCTACCAGGAGAGGAGATCGTCATGGAGGGATTACGGGTCTACCTGATAGCAGATGGGAGAGAGGAGGGGCTTGGGACAGTACTTGGGGGCCCAGCCCTTCTACCAGCAGAGGGCGCTGTGTTCCTCACTACTTACAGGGTCATATTCAAAGGAACTCCGGTGGATCCATTAGGTAGGCATCTCTCTAAATTATTAATTAAAATAGCCCTTAGATGGTTTCCTTATTGTAAATATGTTTTTATGTTAACATATATACTAATCAATGGGTGAAGAGTTTGAAAGATATATAAACCTTTCCACCTTTTGACATGCCAAAGAAGCCAAGATAGGCTGTCATATAATTGAGAAATTTTTAATGTTTATTTCCAGCATGTGAACAAATAGTCTGTCGTATGTTCCCAATATCCACTCTAACCAAGGAGAAGAAAATCAATGTGCAATATCTACAGCATATAGAACAATGGCTGCAGGAGGGCGTGCAGCTGAGGTCTAATACATTCCAGGTACATGACCTTGACCTTGTGACATTGACTGGATTAAGGCAAAACTGCCCTAATTCACGTCACCATACTAGTCAATGGGCAAAAGGGCAAACGCCTGACTTTTTATCTCGAGTTATGGATTTATGTGGCCTCACTGGCCTATCTGAGGTTCTAAAGCTATGTCCAAGCTACATCTTGACACTAAACTCAATAGGGGCCAATCATCTACTTTTTGAAATAATTGGTCAATTGTGACACTACCCCCTCTCTCTGCAGACACAAATTGAAATTCACAAAAATGAAGGCAAAATTAATACGCCACTTGACTCGAAATTTTCCTTCAGATAACCCAAATAAACGCATTTTCAGAAGAAATGGCATGTTGTCATTGCAAAAAGATTACAACTGTGCCTACATACTAGCTTACTGACTCGTCATGATCACAATTGTGTTGGGACTACATTTATTTTTGAATACTACTTTTTTCTATTCAGCGGAAGTGACGTATTAGGGCATTTTGGCCTAAGTCAGTTCATCACATGGAAGAAATGAATATGTTATAACCCAAATATGTTATGATAATTAAGGGATTGTGTGTTAACTACTCTGGGCCTACAGACTCAGTCATTTATTTCTTTGAAGTGTACAAAAGTAACAATTCAAGAGTTGCCATAGTTGACACCTGTGAGTTGTCAGTCTTGTATTGCTTCCATACTCTTTTTTAACTTGATTGTCTTAAGTATGGTTATGTTTATTAGATGTCTATATTCTGATGTGTTTTCCATTTCAGTTAATGAAAGTTGTGTTTGATGAGGAGGTCGGAACTGAAAACGCTGACACATTTCGTAAGTTGCTCCACCGGATGCGTAATCCACCATCTGTATGGAGCACGTTTGCATTTACTGGATGTGCAGTGACGCAACCCACTCAAATGCATGCGCATAAAGACAAGAATAGTTCTCTCAAGTAAGTAATGAGAATATTATTAGTATTTTCAGTTCATATGGGTGAACTGTTTTAATCATCCAATTGTTGTTTTTTTTCTTATTCATATTTCCTATTCTTTTCTTATTTATCTTAATTATTAACAATTCACTTAAAGGAAAAACCTCAACCTAAAAAAATATCAATGTCCACAAGTTTAAGCATTAATATTCATAACACCAATGGGCAAGGAGGGGGTTAACATGTATTTGAAAAGCATTGTTGATTACGACAGGAATCATTTCAAACAGATAACAGTTCAATCTTCTTTTGTGTACTGTAACATGAAACATTCAAGTACTGTTACCTGTTATAAAAGTTGATTCTTGAATTTATTATTTGCTTCTTGAATATACCAAAAATCTCAGATCAGGTTGTGTTAAATAAATATTTGTTTCCAGGGCATTTGCAAAGAGAACGCTACACAAAACTGCTAAGACTGTAGGCCTTAAAGGCAAGGATCCCAATAGAAAGCAGAAATATATTCATCCATCGCCAACTATACCTCGGAAGACTTACAGTCCAAAAGGTAGCCCTACCAGTAGCAGACCCTCTAGTGTGTATGATGATAATCTCTCTAGTGAGTGAAGTGTTCTTATCTGTCTCTATTATAACACATTCTGAATTTCACCCGGGGTCAGTTTCTAGAAGCATTTATACATATAAAAATCAATCATTCTCATATTGTAAGGTTGTGGTATAATATTGAATGATTTTTCAAGAAACATTTCTTAAAAGTATGAAACCTCAAAATTACCAGAATATTTTTTGTGATTTGGAAATGATAGCATTTAAACATTAAGCTTTTAAATATTTAATTCCAAATATTTCAGCTGAGCCATGTTCAGGTAACACCTAACAAATTGACAACATTTTCAATATGGCTGCTATATTGAAAATATTGGTCCATGTTTCAGGCAGCACCAAATAATAACTATTTGATGTTCTTACGTTTGTTTGCATTTCTGTGTGGGTTGCTTCACAAATATTAACATTCGAGATTGCAAGCCATCTGCTTAAGTGTATCAGGTGGTACAGTCTCATAACTCTCTGAGATATTCCTGTCAGCGGGATTTGATTTTTAATGAATTTTGAAACTTAAAAATTTTAATTCTGCATCTTTTGACATTTTTGAATCATATGTTGTTATCTACACTGCAACTTCCTTTGTGACATCATAGTATTGTGATCTAATTACCAATGCTACAACAATAATACATAATCATTACCTGCTCATATAAAGTACATATGTGTACTTCTGAATAGAATGTATGGTCTCATTTTCTATCATAACATGGTTGATTATTACTACCAAATTAAAATGCAGCAACTCTAAATTGAACATATAGCCTGTATCGCTAATTGATGCAATGATACAGAATAGCTGTCTGTGCTCTAATCAGCGTATATACATGTATGTAAATTACATGTATGTACAAAACAACATGTACCTAACTTGTCAAGCAGTATTATAAATCACAGTACCAATGGCAGTTGCTTTTTATCCCATCGAACGAAGTTCGGAGGGATATAGGGAACGCCTCCGTCCGTCCGTCCGTACGTACGTACGTCCGTAGAAGGTAGAAGGCAGCCATTTTGAAAAATGGTCGCCATTTTAACTTATTTTCCTATAACTCGAAAAGTAGTGGAGCAATTTTGTTCATATTTGGTATGTGAATACTATAAGCATGGTACACTGTCTAATGACACTTTTGGTAGAAGGCAGTATTTTACCATTACTCGAAAAGTAGTGGAGCGATTTTGTTCATATTTGGTATGTGAATACTATAAAAAAAAGCATATTACTTCTTCTGATGACAACTTGGCTAGTGAGCAACCATTTTGAAAATGGTGGCCTTTTCTATGTGTGTTATTTTATGATATTTGCTATATATTTTGTTTGTAAAAAGCCAGTCATTTCTGTTCGATGGGATTCGCTACGCTTTGGCGTTGCCGTTGTTCTGGTTTTGCTCTTGGCAAAGAAATTTGAAAACTGGTTGGTCAGTGTTTAAGTGTAGAACCCTCATATCCTTCACCGTGGTATTGTCCAGTTGTTATGTGCTTTGCTTCACAATCTAACTACAAGAAGTTGATTTATTGATTGTCTTTTAAAACTAAAACATAACTTTGTGACACCTTCACAGGCTTGATCAAGAGTAAAGAGATAAAGATGATAGGATTAGCTGGTTTGTGACTAAATAGGTGTTGGGTATCAACAAGATTTTGATCAGTTGTGACTTACTCAAATAAAGCTGTACAAAATGATGACATATTTATATTATTCGTCACTTTTTGTTTTCAAGACATATGTGAATAAACATTTTTACCTTGTTATGTTTTTCTTCAGCTCGATATTTTCTGCCAGTATTTTGAATTATTTCCTACTCATACTTTCTACCTATAGTGTACACATTCTACTCCTATTTCAGTCATAGAGGAGGGTGAGGTTCCAGCATTCATGACAATGGATCCCAAGGTGCTTGAGAAATTGTTTGAGAAACCTGGCTACAAGGACTTCCAGCGTATGGGCTTAGGGGAGTTACCCTCCTTTGCTAATACCAAGAGTCGCACTGACCCCTATAGGATATCAACTGTCAATTGTGGGTTTAGTGTATGTAGAAGGTGAGTCTATAATTCTACAAAATATATTATATTATTGAAAAGTTTCTTGTTAATATTAAGTGTAGATGTTAAATGTAACAATGAGCGGTGTATGAGGGTTAAGTCAGTCAGTTAATTACTTGATTGTAATATAAGTAAAAATTAATGCCACTAGGAGACACTGCTTATTTTTAGCTCACATGGTGTGCTTTTGCAATCACTCACTTGTTATTACTTACAAACTAGTATATACAACTATCATAACTCATTTTACCAGAGTGCAATGGGTACCGCATGGATATAAAATGAAATAAATATTCTACTATATCATTCCCAAGCATTCCCTGTATCATAATGCACAAAGGAGTTGTGGAATATGTTTTGGTATTTTTAATTATCTCAGAATACAAGGATTTTAGTAAAGATATAATACATACTTAATTTTTATTTATTCCTTATTTCAGTTATCCTGCCCTTATAGTTGTACCTCAATCTGTTTCTGATGACAGTATACGAAAGTTCTCACGTAGCCATAGGCAATACAGGTAAGACACAATTCTGGACTGTTTTATTCAGTCAAAATTTCCGTTTAAGTTGATGGTTTCCATTTTAAAAATAACTCCTATTATAGTTGTGGTTATACAGGGTTCAATTTTAGCTCATATTTTATTAACGCCTTTTAAAGTTGGGGCTCCACAGGGCTCAGTTTTAACACGTATATTATTATTTACTATATATATTTCAGATTCCCTGTGATTACATGGAGACATGACAAGACGAAGGCAGTCCTGCTACGAGCGAGTGGCTTCCACACGAAGGGAGTCATGAGCATGCTAAAGTCACATAGTCATCACCACCAACCTACACCTAGTAAGTACATGTGCACTCTCTTTGTTCACACTTTCAAGTATGTATTCATGGAAATTTTGGAATAATGCAACTCCATTTTTGGTGTTGTGTAAACTAGCTCCACAATGTCTTATATCCTTACATCCAATGTTTTTTTAATAAAGCATTGTTGATAAAACAGTTTTTATCTTATTTTTGCAGGTGCCTCTTTAAGTGAACTGTCAACTAGTGTAGAGCAGGAGAAATATTTCCACGCAGTAGTGTCAAGTACACCCATTGGTCAGCTCAGTCACTCGCAGATCAGTGATTCGTTGACAAGTATTGACTCTCTCATACTTACAGCAGGTACTTCCGACACACTTACGATCCCAGAGACCCCTGGTGGCACAAGAAAGAACTATCTTGCGCGTGCCGTCAGTAGTTTGCGCAGCAGTGGTGGAAGAGTGAAATGTAAGCACACTAATAACTAACATGGGGTGGCTCACTATTCTGATGCCAGCCATTTTGTATTTGTGTCATTGACATTTCTTTTATCTTTGACTGAAATTTCTTTTTTTAGATTTTCACTTTTTGTTGTAACTTTCAGTTTTACTCAAAAAGAAATGTAAGCTATTCTAACTCATTTGTGCTTGCTTATCCATGTAGTCGAAATTAGTTTTAGTGTGTCTAGTATTTTGGATACGAGAGTACACAGTATACTATTTTGGGTTTGAAAGTAGATTCCCTACAAACTTTTAGCTTTGAGAGTAAAGTTTTCCTTTGGGGTAAAAGTCTAGTTTTGTAGAAAGGTATTTAGTTTTGAGAGTACATGGTGCAATACTTGGGGTTAGAGACTAGATTTTCAAGAGAGTGAAATCAGAGTACATGCCACCTCACTCTCGCTTGCGTCGTAGACTGTTGAAGATGCCACGGGGTCGAGGGATCGGCCATTTTGTACTCAATATGTAAGGTAACATTTATGTAGTTTTACATTTAATTTATTTTAATTATAAGTAAGTGTTGATTATTTGTTTAATTAGATAAAAATAAATAACAGCTTTAGGCACTAACCCTCTAACATAATGCTTATTGCAGTAATCATCATTGATGTTATCATCATTGTTTGTCATCATTGTTTTCATGATCATCATCGTACAAGTACAAAGTATGTTAACCTGCATGCTCTGTATGTTTCATTCCAACCTGTAATTGTGACAACTAATTATTAATAATGATTATTATTAAATTTATAATAAAGATAATGAATTGCAACGACAATAGTTCACTGATTTCTTAACACAGCACTTGAACTGATACAAATTCTGAAATTAATTAGTGGAAAATAAAAAATCCTTTGTAAATGTGCAGTTTAACACTATATCTGTACTCAGATAATTTGGTTCACTGTAGTGTTTTCATATTTTATTTTCTTGTGATTTTTCTGGAAAGTAGCGAGTTCAGATGAGGATGGTATGTGATATTATATATAACTACAAAACGTTTGTTTTTGTTGTTTGTTTGTTGTGATTTTAAAACATTTTCACACTTTTCTGTATTTGGTTTTTGTAGATTTTTCTAGTTGGGGACTGTTTGGTTTTATCCATTTATTATCAATTTGATCATAAAGGCAACTGATTACTCTCAGAAATACAATTCTAATTTATTCTTCAAATTTTAAGTTAAAGTACTTTGAACATTTCACTTTGTCATCAGGAAATGATAAAGCCACCATTTTTATGACTGGTTTTTAGCATTTTGCATTGGAATCTGTGTTGATCTCATCAGAAAGAATTTATTTTTGTAAATTACATTTTTCTACTTTATTTTTTCTGCAACTACGCAAGAGTATTTGACTTTGTTTGGCATTATTTTGAAATTAGATAATATTATATTTGTTTTATCAGCTTTGAAAAGTGAGGAATTGTTAAACATTTTATTTGGTTGAAAGGTTTTTGTTGTTGCAACATAAGCTTTGCTTTTTATTGTTCTATTTTATATGGAATAGATGTATAGGAGGCGTTACTATTTATTTGACTTGCTTGAGGAGACTTTGTTCAAATGGAGAAGTGTTTTAGAGTGAGGCAGAGAGAGACTAGAGAGATGCTTGGCTTTCTGTTATTGTAGATTTCCCGGGCTATTTAAATGACAAGAGCTTGGTGTTTATCAGAATTTTGTTATTAAAATAATGAACTTTTAGTTCAATGTGCAATTAAAATCTGTTTTAATTTGATCTTATACCAGGCATGCATCTTGATTAATACGAAAAATTATAAAGCAGTGGTTTGATACCACGATATTTACATTTTACTATGTGGGAGAAAGATTCATGAAAATGAAGGATTGAAATTTTCGCTATTGACCTGATGCATATTTGGGAAACTTTGCACAACTTTACTCCTTTTAACTTGTCATAATCTATCTAAAAATATTTATTAAAACATGTAATATGTGTTATTTACTAGTAGCTAATTATTTTTTTAAAGAAATGCTTATTCAATTTTTTTTATATGACTACATTTTGTTATTAGTTTCTAGCTCTTCTAATTGTCTCATTGCTCAAATACTGCCAAATATTGCTAAAAATATAAAATGAAATTTTTGTTTTGGATTTTTATTTGCTTTTAATAGTGCTGTTCTGTGTTCATTTTAATTTCTGTTTTGATACTTAATAAATATGTATTTCAGAAAATGATTTTGGAGTGTGATTATTACAAAAAAAAGTTTGGGGAATGAAGCCAGAGGTTTTGATAGATGTTTATGGTGGTCGAGTTTTTCAATGGAAAATTCATTGGAAATATGGAATTTTGGAAGTTATAGACTCATTAAACATTGTCTCTATACTTATAAATTGTATAGAGAGTCAAATTTAAGAGACCCCTGACAAAATAGTCACATTCATTAATACCTATGGAAATTATCTGTTAAAACAAATTCTGAAATACATTTTTATAATTTTGGCAAATATTGTAAAAATATATTGTAATTACGTCAACTTAATGACATGTCTTTGACTCCTGTCGCAGATATTAATATATTTTTACAATTCCATTTGCCATCTTGAATATGGTTGAAGTGATTCCTAATTTTAGACATTACTTTGGCATGTTCCCAATTTTCTATCCTATAGCTGCAACTGAGACTCTAAAATCGTCCCCAACACTATCGCGTAGCAGTAGTTTCAAAACGACAAACTCCTTACCGGAGCCCCCTGATATGCTCCGTAGGAGTACAAATCCATTTCAACGTGTATACAGTAGCTTTAGGATGAGCTCAGGCAAAGGGCATAAAAGTATGTATGGCTGAGTGACATATTAATGCTTTCATCCTCTGTCTAATTAACACACACTGCTATCGTAACTGTCAAAAGTGAAATAATAACTGATATAACAGTTAAACTTGTCTAAAGTAGATGCCACTGGGTTCAGGTTATATGTTGGTATTGAGAGTTCACATTTAGCAATTCTTGTTATTGAGGCAAAAACTAATTTAAATGTGTTTGCATTAAGAAAATGATTGAATTGATCAAATACACGGGTTTTACTGAAAGAACAGACCAAACTTGAAACCCCTGATTCAGTCAAAATAGAAAGGATCGAGAAAGATAACCATCTCTTCCTTAAAATGAAACAAGTTTGCCTCAAATTTGATATTTCTTATAGCTGCTTATTAAATTGTATTGGAAGTATAAGTCATTGTTATAGTTTTTCCCTAAAAATAGAACTTTTGTAGCTCCTAAAACTTTTTAAAAGGAATTTTATCAGAAATATTATAATATGCAAAATGAATCTAATTGTTCAGAAAAAGCGGGTTGATAACTCCAAATGTTTATTTTGGTCTGTTTCAATTTGACGCATTTACAATTAGCATTGTGTTACAGAAGGATGTTGTTACTAATTTGCTTTGCTATTTGGGCAGCTCTCTGATCACACATAACATCAGGAATTCTAATATCTAATGCTTTCCATAACTTCAACCAAGTATTTTTTAAATGTCACTTTTGAGAAATATTCACTCTAGATTGCTCCATTTTTGAAGTATTACTGATTAAGTTCCATGATTAGATTTACATGAGTTAGTCTTCAAAATGATGTTATGTGAGATCAGCGAAAACATTTACGATCACAGGACACCATATCCCAGGGTTCCACACTTCATTGGCACACTATCATTATATTAATGCTGTGTGAAAATATTGCTTTTTTCTCTGGGTAATATCCCTGGGTGCAGAAGTTAAAAAGCTTGAGACTGTGCACAATATAGGAAAGGTTTTACACATCTAAACTAAATGATGATAAGTTTAGTCCAATAGAACGTGGTCTAATATTGAGGTTTTGAATTTGTATGATCCCATTGGTTGATTGGTTAATATAATTTTGGATATTTAAATGGGATTTTATAAATTCAAGAATTTTGGGATTAATCTCAGCATGCACTGTTGCTAGGGAGATGCTCTCGTGGTGCATGCTGGGATTATGTGAATTCATGGCCTCTGAAAGGAGAGCTTGAGTAAATGGGGCCATAAGCAATGAACTTGAAGGAGTATATTTTTATAAAAGGTAAGAAGTACTGTATTGAGTTTCCCGTAGTCCTTTGCACATATAACAACCAGACACCATTGTCTGCCAGTATATCAGTCAGGAAATGAGTTTTTCAGAAGGAAAGCTATTTTGGGACAGTTCTACTCAGGCTTTAATTATAAAAATCCCTATAAAATAAGGGCCACAATATTTTTCTGAAAAGGACTGGGTCCCCAAAGATCAAACTATCCTCTCTTGTATTGCTCGGCTACATTTGGTGTTAAGGAATTAAGGAATGTATCAATGTATGGGTTTACAATTAACAAAATCAGTATTCTAACAAAATCTAGGAAATCAAAGAGATTATCATTACTTACTAGTATTTTGATGTTGAAGAGAGGGAACAATCTGAAATGAGCTGTTGTAAATCTTTATATTGATACCAATGTATTAGAATTGACAGTAAGTATTTTGATTATATATCCATGGTCCACAAGCTGAGATATGAGGTAAGATGAATGAGGGATGATCAAATGAAGGTGTTTGCTTAAAATACTGCTTACTTAATTTTGAAAAATGATTGAGTGTGATTAGAATGTCCATTCCAACATTTAATTAATAACCATTCCTATGCTTAAGTGTTATTCAAATGTCTTTGTATGTGTTTATCTTCCACATGTCTATCATATATTTGTTAATGTGATTAATTATTGTTTTTTAATTGCCTGCCACAAACTTTTAATTTTAGTATTAGTTTAAATTAGTTATATGCCTGAAATGTGAAACTTGAGTGACGTTTGCCTTTATTATGAACTCTCTGTCATTATTAGAATTAAGGTGACAATCATGGTATTGTGCAAACATAAAAGTTTTAGTAAATAATTGCCAAACTCCTCATTCTATTCTGCCTACCTTAGTTCATCTGAAGAACTACCTCCTTGGCACCAGTCTCCTATCAGACAGCCTAACTATGGAAAATAAGGGATCATATGAAAACATCAGTGTACTCAAACCACAAAGTTCATTTCATTAAGAGGTGGGAAGGTAGATTAAATTGTTTAATCCAGTTGGATCTATTAAATATTCAATCTCTGCTTCTTCTCGTTTTAAAGAATGAAGGGTTCCTAGGCAAAATGAAATGAACTTCTTGATTAGATGTGTGTTAATGTTTTGGTATGGCTCTAAACACTGTTATATATGACCTGTGTATAAGTTACTCTAAACAATTTATTGACTATAGGTTATTTCCCCATAAGCCCTCTGTCTTGTCTTGCAAGATAAATGTAGATGTACATACTGTGTGTTGGGGTTTATCTGGGGGTTAAAACTGTGTTGGGGTGTATCTGGGGGTAAATCTGAGTGTGGGGGTGTAGCTGGTTCTAGTAAGGGAGGGCAAACTTGGTGGAGGGTGTTTGTCAACACTGGTGGAGGGTCATTGCATTATTTTGTAATTTGTTCATTGTAAATTCATTTTGTTATTCATATGTGTTAAATAACTAAATCATTGCTAAAATGTTTTTAACAAGCACATTTGTTTTATTTGTTGATATTTGAAAAGCACCGTAAGATGTTTTTTGTTATGTTAAGGTACTCAAACTTGAGTATTTGGTTTGCATTCATAAATGAGTACAATTGAATTATGAAAGTCATAAAATCATTTGCTTAAGTAATCAACAGAAGATCAAATTCATTTAAGATTCAATGTATATTTGATATCTATATCTATCATAAATGTTTCTAACTTGTGGGGTTAAGGCCTTACAGATAGGTAATAGTTCATGTTACTCATGTTATGAAATGTAAAATATGAATGAAAAGTGGGGAATTGGCAAGAAATAAAGTAAATACTGCAATCATGAAGTGGACACTCTTTTTACTGAAATATGTGTGCAAAAATGATGAAAATTCCTGAAATTATTTAAACTTAAAATGACTTTGATCTTTTAATTTTTTCCCTCCATTTTCAGCTTTAGGAAGATTGGGAAGCGTCAAGTCTGACAAGCGGATGTCAAGTGCAAGTCTTCAAGCGCCAGCCCGTGCAAATGGAAATGTTGAACCCAGTATTGGAGATGTGGGGATCCAGGGACTACATCGTGCTGCCCTCTATGTTCTAGGAGAGAAGGCACAAGTTAAAGTATGTTTCATAAATGTTGAGTTTGTGTTATCATTCAATGTTTATCATCTGAAAACCCCAAATAGTGTAAAGAATTTCAGTGATAATATTTCTTTACATCAATGTTGAGCTAAATGTACAACAACAAAGATTTACATTCCAATTTGAGAGAAAAGTAAATTGCCCAAGAAAAAGATCTGTGTAAAATGAGAGCTGTATTTTTTCAACAATTTGATTTCATTTTGGATTTATATATATTCCATTGTTTCAGGTAACATTGCCACTGCTATTGACTGTAAGTTGGTCTAGCTTTGCCACTATATTTCATCTTTCATTTTTTCTTACCTACCAGGCTGTCAAAGTTGAGCAGTTCCCAAAGTGTGATTTCATCCCGGTTGAGTTCACTGAGGTTCGTCACGTGAAGGCCAGCTTCAAGAAACTCATGAGGGCTTGTGTGCCAAGTGCCACCAGTGCAGACCCAGAGATGTCTTTTTATAAGGCTGTACAAGACTCAGACTGGCTCAAACAGGTAGATATGCAATGGTGATGTTATATAAAGGGGTTGGGATATCAGGTATATTCTGAGGGAGAAATGTTACCTTACTGAGTGCCGAAATTGTTTTGAATAACTGTGGCACAAATCTTACATTCATTCTGAATGAATTTCATGCTCGCAGAATCGAGCCATTTTACAATTTACATTGTAGGCTTGCAAATTGATGTCACACACTCAACGTTCTAGTTATCCAATACGCCTAACTTAATTCTGCTCATATAGTCACACAGTAACAGTCTTTTTATACAGTGAACCTCCAGCCAATAGTCCAACCCAACTTACTTACATGTAAGTAAATCACCATGTAACATTGCATTTCAGCTACAGAACATTCTCCAATTAGCAGGGGTAGTGGTAGATCTCATGGATGTACAGGGCTCATCTGTTATGCTCTGCTTGGAGGATGGCTGGGACATAACCACACAGGTGAGAAACACTTCATCTCTATAATAAGAAACTACAGTAGGCTACTTATTTTATTTTTTTTAAAATTTATGATGGTCATGAATCATTGATATATTCATTGGTGCAATAGATGCATTGCAATACACATTCCCAATTTGTTTTGATTATAAGTGTTCTTGCACCCTTGCCCTTACACTAAAAACAGCCAAGAAACTTTGGTTTAACCTCACCAAATAATTAGTTTTTGTTGTGTATAACATGCCTACCTTTGTTTTTAAAGGTTTCTGCAGTTGCCCAGGTGCTATTAGACCCATACTATAGGACAATAGAGGGCTTCCGGGCACTCATTGAGAAAGAATGGTTGTCTTTCGGCCATCGATTTACTCACCGTAGCAACCAGACTGCAGCCAATCAAGCGAGTGGATTTGCACCAATTTTCTTGCAGTTTCTTGATGTAGTGCATCAGGTAAGAAGATTTCTATCATACAGAACATAACCCTTGTTCACGCTCCTAAAATCACAGGGAACAATACCAATATACAGTAATTGATATTCTGAGTTAACTATATCATTACTGTGAATAAACCCTTAAAGTATTTTATGATTACCTTTCTGGAATCCATTAATCAAGCTATTTTGTAATGTTTATTTTCTAGATTCACCTTCAGTTTCCACTATCATTTGAGTTCAACCAGTACTTCCTCAAGTTTCTGGCCTTCCACTATGTTTCGAATAGATTTCGTACATTCATGCTGGACAATGAATACGAAAGAATGATGGCGGGGTGGTTACTCGAGGAGAAACACATCCCAACAAAGGACGACGAGAACCTTGGAAATGGTTCAGGTTTTGTGAATCGGCCTCAGTCAATAGGGCAAAGTATCTGGGACTACATTGAAAAGTTCCATCGAAGATCTCCAATATTCTTCAACTTTGAGTACACAGAGTTGGAGAACCATGTGGTATGTAGTAGTTTATATTATTTTTAGTGCATTATAAACATTGACAGTTATGTCTGATCTTTGTGTGTAAAGGATTATGGGAAATTCAAATTAATATTTTACTAATAGATCACATTCATTGGTTAATGAATTTAAGCTATGATATTAATATCACTCAAAGTCGTACATCACTCGAAGTCGTACATCATCTCATTTCTATTTAATTTAGTTTAACTACTTTGAATTTTGATTTATTTATTCTATTTCAGGTACTTAGACCATTCTCAAACATCTCAAATCTGCGGATCTGGGACTACTTTGTAAGTGAATCTCTGGACCATGGCCCATCATATGACATAGAAATAGTTGCCAAGGAAATGAAGCAAGTCGAAGAGGATGATCTGGTTGATGGTACAGGAAGTTTACGTAAAATTGCAAACTTCTGTTATGATAATCAACACCTAAAGATGCCAGAAGGTTGCTCATATCTGTTGTCAGTGAGTACATATGCACTTGTAATATTGTCAATGATTAGATATGTATTGTATTCCTTATTTACTTGGTTCTAGGTACATAACATGTGGGAATATTTAATAGTGTATAATGTGAGTAGTTAAAATTAAAAAGTATCCTGTATTTTATTGAATTTAATTTGAAATTATCTTCTCTTTCAGGAAATTCATCGCTTAGAGAAAGAGCTGGATAGGTCACCCCAGAAATGGCATCCATTATGGGACAAACTGGATCACCCAGATCACGAACAATTAACACGTCAAGTGTCTCTGAACACTCAGCTAGCGCAATCTCATGGAAGATCAATACATAAACGTTCAACGATTGAAATATTAATGCGTGCTAAAATGTCCGGTGAGACTGCAAAGATGTTCAGTCAGCCACATAAGTTTGAGAAACACAACTATACAATGACTACACTAATTTACTGTGATTACTGCTCGCAGGTTCTCTTTTGGGGGCTAATTAAAACAGGTCAGTGAAGGTTGCATAAATATTTCAAATATGCACACTTACCTTAAAGTCAGCCTTAAAGTGTCCTGTTCTCAGTGCTCTCTGGCGTAGGTTAATGACAATTATTTATGGGAAAATGGATTCCCTCATTTTCTTTTTCACTATGCCTATCATAATCTATGTGAACTATGTTGATGAGTGTTTATAGTTGAACCAAGCCTCTCAAATATTTTTATCACCAATAGAAACTCACGAGGGCTTCAACATCACCAAGAGGAGTATACATACCAGTATTTAATATCTGAAAATGACTGCTTGTATCGATGAACAGAAAGTATATGTATAATTTTAGATGATAACTGTTGAATTAATGTTTCTGCAGGTATGCGATGTACAGATTGCAATTATAACTGCCATGAGAAGTGTATGCCATATGTGCCCAAGAACTGCGCAAGCTACAAGAGAAATTCAGAGGCCTCCACCAGTCAGCAGAGCCTTGCGAAGGCACCCTCGGAGACCAATGTGGGGACATTAGGTGAGTTCTGAAATGAGCATTTTTATTTTCTACTTGTGTTTAGTGTGACCCACAAAGTCTAAAATTGTTGTATTTTGAGCTTGCATTTATGTTTAGCCAATGCCACTTTTACTGTAAAACATGGAAGGTTTCCTGTAGCTTTTTTCATGATTTGGACTTGACTAAAATCTTTGGCAAAACAAATGATTTAACAAAGTCACAAGTTGAGCTGCAGTATAGCAGTACTGTATATCTAGCAACTTGAAGATGTGCAGTGAAAATAACCTGTTTTACAGTAGGGTGTGTATTGTTGTGCATGTGTACAGACATTGTTGCATGGAATGATACAAATGATTATAAAAGTATGATTTTAATTTAAATTGAAAATGAAAGAAAGTTCAATGAAATGCCTTTTAAAATCCTCATCTTGTCTTCATTTGTGATTTAGTTTAGTCTTAATTTTACATATAATTTTACACTTTCTTTTATATTACTCAATGTGTGATTTTAAATCCGTGCTCTCTTCAGTATTGCGTCAATTGGGCATGACACACCAAATGAAGAATTTGAATATTATTGAAAAAACAGAATGTTATCTTCCACCCTGATAAGAATTTGAATATTATTAGTTGAATTGAATATTACCTTTCACCATTTTTTGAATTTGGAAAATTATAAAATTTTGGATTATGAACTGATTTGGGTTTTTCTTAGGCAAGATAAGTAAATGAGAATTTTACATCCTGAAAAAACCTGGGGAGAATTCTGAATTGTATATCATATTCAAATTACAATTATGATTTTTGCTTGAAATTATTTATGAACTTTAGATCGAGCTGTTAATTTGTAGCCTCCAGGCCTAGTAGTATTTATGTTTTATTTGTTATTATTGAGTTGATGTTGTTGTATCATTTAACCCTTTATAAGACTCAAGATGGAATCTGTCAAGACTCTTTTCCAACTCCAAGGGTAAATTTATTTAAGTTTTGTTATTGCTTTATTAAAACATTATTATTTTATCTAAATTTTATCTCAGAGAAATAGGTTTTATTCATCCCTTTGGGCTTTCTATTTACATGTACATGTAGTATACTATGCTGTGTTAATTATTGTACACCCAGTTATATAAATATGAAAATGTTTATTTTCCATCAAAATGTTTGCTTCTACCATTAAGTCAGGCAGTGTGGGATGATTTGGAACCTGTTTGCACATGGTTAGAGCCAGGTTAATCATTCTATACTTCTTTACCTTAATTAAATAGTAAAACTTGAATGATAAACACCCCTGGAGGAATTGAAGAATTACTTGCATATTTCCAGGAAGTTTGGGGTTGAATTGACATGAATCTCGTTAAGAAAATAGCTTATGTTTGTACTCATAGAAATTCTGTAGAATATGATAATTACGTTGATAAACAAATAACAAACAAGAATGAGTTTTGTTTGGCGATATTACATAATGTTACATAATATATTTCTAAATACTAATTGAAATAAATGATTATACCATGACTAATTGACTAACTACCTAAAGATTATATAATAAGTGTATATGTAGTTACGTAATTAAAAAACAACCGCGCACTTGTTCCACTATGAACAGTGCTCCAGAGGCAGTCAAGAACAGAATGAGCATAGCTCAAATAAATGAGAGAACAATAAAAACGGTACATACAATGTTCAAAAGCGCTAAGGCAGACATGAACTGTGATGTAAAAGTGCAAGTGTACGTAAAAAACTGTGAATCAAGTAAAAACTGTGAAACAGGTACAAATACATTTACAAAAACGTCACGTTACGTGACACCTTATACATATATAATAACAGATATAAATGCAATCAAAAACTATAAATGAACAGTGTGTAACTGCAAGCATATGAATTACATAGAGTTACAATACAAATACCGATGCGGATTCATTTGTATGACTAAACTGTAACAATAAAGACAATCAAGAACAGTGACTCAACCAGTAGAATACCGTGTAGTAAAATACTTCCTACATTGGCATTCGGCAAGGCTAAAAGACATTCATAAAAATGTGCTACATGCGCATTGGTTTACACGCTATTAGAAAATATGAACACATAAATTACAATTACAAAATTACAAATAAAATGTTTTACAACATGCGCGACAACATGAATGCTTAAGAGCGTTAATGGCTCTATGCTTATTAGCTGACAAAAATACATACAACATACAGTAACAATCGAAACAGAAAATAAATTCAATTCGAATCTTAATCATACTGTACGTAAACTATAATGATTTAGAGTAATCATCGTGACAAATGAAGAAAACAAACAAGACGTCATGACTTGAAGTACCACTTAGCAACGGAAGGCTAATAAGGTTATAAGTGTGCGTAAAATCAAGGGTCAATAAATATCGTAACAGTATTATTACACATCCCACCTCTCAATTAATTGCCTTAGATTCCTTTGCAATCTAACATATGGTATCCTAACACCCCTCTGGTTTTTACTGATGACATTAACTTGGACGCGTCCAACTAAGTATAAAACTAGTAAGTACACGTGCTGAGCTCCTCAATTTCCCCATACAAGTGCAATCTACGTACTACTGTATAGAAATTTTGTCAACCTACAGAAGTTAGGAATATGGACAGCAACAACAACAACCCCATCCTAAAGGATGTTAACCTCAACAACACAGCATTGTATTATGGTGAACTGGAAGAGGGTCAAATTATAGACTCTGCTTCATTAGGCTTTCTTCAGAACTCCACGACTGACTTTGGAAATTCTGCATATAACATGCCATCACACACCAACACCAGCGGTTCACTCGACAAACATGCTAAAGAAGTCTTGCTTCAGTCAGACTTCAATCCAGATCTTCATGATCCCAGGCTCGCTAAAGCCAGTGATTCTAGGCTCTTTCCTCGAGGGAATGAGGTGCAGGACATTTTTAGCAACAAACATCAGAACCCCATGTCTCACATGAGACCAGGTGGAGACTGTTTACAGTCCGATAAATTGAACTCTATAGGATTCAATTCTACAAACATTCAGGCTTCTAAAAAGCTACTGAAAAAACAACGCGATTTACAACGCTCCAAAGAACCCCTAAATGAACCCCAAGTTTATCAACAAACGGGGTCTGGATTAGTGCAAGACATCATCAAGGGGTTAACTCCAACATTGGAAATGATCGCCTCTAATAAACAACTGGATATTGAGCTCTTAGGTCAACCTGAAAACAGGAACAGATCTTCTCAAAGACGCTCACAACAAAGGAGAAAACGTCATAATTCCCCGGTTTCTTCACAAGACGATAGCTCGCCCGCACGGACACTTAGCATTAAACGGCATCGTTCTGATCACCCCTCCACTAGTGAAATGGAATCTCCCGACAGAGACACAACGCGCATGCGCAGTGTTAATAACCCGGAAATGGATTCCGATTCTTCAGCATCAGAAAATGATTATGACTCGAATTCGTGGAAAAACTGCATTAAATTGATAAAAAATGCATTCCCGGAACACTTTACAACGAGCCCCGATACCAACACGAACAAACAAACAGCAAATATTCCATTAGGATTACAATCTTTGGGCAGGAAGGCATCGTCTTCTGAGAATTCGAATGGATTACCGATCGGACCTTCTGTTCAACAAAATTTCACAGCGATGAACCAAGAAATATACAACAAGAGGAACACCAACGACGGTAATTTCCTTCTCAGGCCTAAGCGGTCTTTCACTTCTTTGAAAGATGATGAACATTTTTATAAAAAATGCATCTTAAACAACACAATCAAAGAATTGGTTCCACCTACAATGAAACTCTCTGAATTGAGTAATTCAACAAATTTTAAGCTGCCAGCAAAACATCACAAGCTGTTAGAGGAATCAGCTAAAGCCCCCCTCAGATATTTATCACACACAGAATGGCTGCTAGGGGCAACAGGTAAAATTGTAGCAGAAAAATTCCCTGACAATGAGGATTTGATTAATTTGTTGTCTACAGCTTCTACAATGGTCAACAAAGCAACCAGAGATACTGTTTCAAACATTACCAATGTGATTCTAACACAGAGGGATCGTATCAGTTCCAAATTCAGAAGATCTGATGCGGAATCACTAAGGAATCTCCCAATTGATACGACCTACTTATACCCAGAGCCTCAATTAAAAACAATTTGTGAAGGCTCTGATAGATCCAAAACTTCTAAAGCTCTACAGGATCTGGCTTCAAACTGGAAAAAGCCCAAAAACGACAATAACAACTATTCAGCTAAAAACAGCTATAACAGAAATAATAACAGAGGCAATTATCACAACAACAACAACAGAGGAAATTACAACAATAACAGAGGAAACCACAACAATAGAGGCAATTACAACAATGACAGAGCCTCTACATCAACTAAAGACAATAACAACAAACAAAAGAAGCGAAAATGACACTCACAGTTTAACTGTAACCCAGCCCTGCCTCCCCCTATTCTCACCTACAGCCCAGCTGGGACCAGTGGGAGGCAGAATTCAACAACACAAACACAACTGGGAACTCATTACCAAGGATCAATGGATCCTAAACATAGTAAAACATGGATATGCTCCAGAATTAACAGCAACACCACCAATGACAAACCTATTCAACAGGTTCGAATCGGCGTCAAAAAGAAAATCCCAACTTATTCAAGAAATAGTAGAAAAATTACTTCAAAAACAAGCAGTGGAACTAGTAAAAAACAACACTATAGGACACTACAGCATAATCTTCTTAAGACAGAAACCAAACGGAGACTACAGACCTATAATAGACCTGTCTCTCCTCAACAAGTATCTAACTTGTCCAAAATTCAAGATGGAAACAACTACAAAAATTTCCAGTGCTCTTCAAATAGGCGAGTGGGCTACCTCCATAGACTGTCGGGACGCCTATTTCCATGTACCAATAGCCAAAAACTTCAGGAAATACCTCAGATTTGTGATAAACAATCAAGTGTATCAGTTCAAAACACTCCCATTCGGGATGTCAACCAG